TTTTATTTTGTCCAAACTAATAGTCATGGAAATAAAAATGCTAGAAAGTTAATTTTCGTGTTCGGTTACATGTGTGAACCATTGTATTATTCGAGTTCGTGAAGCGTGATGTCTATAAGTTTTTCTGTTGCTCACTCGTTACTTTTTCATTAGTGACATGCCTTGAGTGAGTTGAGCTGACATAATTTCATTGCCGATCTTCACAGATCCGGTTCGGTTTCTAAAATGAACCGAACCGTTCGTAACACTAGACTTAACCTTTTTGTTTTCTCATATAATTTCGACAAAGACTTAGTGTTTTGCGATTTTCTCGCAGAAACTTAATTTTCTTTGTTCTCATTTTCATTTAGAAATAAATGATTTTGTTCAAAAACTGCGCGCGTTTGCTTTTCTGCGCGATTTTCCTCATGAAATTAGCCTTTTTTGTTTCTCTTACATCCTTTTGCCAAGAAACTGCGTGGTTTGCGATTTTTCTCATAGAAATTTGACCTTTTTTGTTCCATAGTATTTTCATAGAAACTAACCCAGTTTCATTTAAAAACAAGAAAAACTTGGTTTATCGTTCATTCTCATTTACAAAATAAAAATGACTTTGTTTTTGTCATTAAATATTTGCATCATATCGACACGGGGTATTTCTATCCATATACAGTATAGGGACAAAGAAAACACTTGGCCAATATAATCGAAGTCTTAAGAATGTTTCATTATAAATTGGAAGAAATCCAAACTGCATGAATACCTATTTCTTAGGAGATATTCGTTCTCTAAACGACGTGTGAATAAACAATAATTCGATTTGTGATATTTCAATATTTTATTCCGGTAAGTAGTTCTCATCACTGTTTCATTTCTCCAACTTATTACGAAATGTGAACATAGATTGGCCATTTATCTTGTGTAGATATGGGCAACTCCGAGAGTGTCCACAGCATCGTGAGTGCATTCAAAGAAAAGGAGAACAATAAACACGAATCTCGTAAGAGGAATGCTGATATCCGTAAAGATGAGGTGAAGACAAGATATGCATTTGAAGAGAAAAGGATGGATTTGGAGCACCAACACAAGATCGCCGAATTGATAACGCAGATGAAACTGACAAAATCTCAAGCCGGAAAAGAGCTTGTGCTCGCCTATATGGCAATGTTAACCTCAATTATCCAACAGAATAATACTGTCTTTGAGAAAGCTGTTCCCTTGATTCAGCAAATCAGCGATGGCAAGACACCAGACTCAATCAAGAAAGCTGCTGAAAAAGCCATCGCAAGAGCTTTTGATGTACTGTGCGATGCTTCATTATATTGTTCTGCTGTTTCTTAAGTTACTTTACGATATGAACTGATCACGCGAATATACTTAACGTCATTTTTTAGGGTTATAGAAGTACCCAAGAGCTTCTGGAATTCTCGAAATTGGAGGTCGAAAGACTTAATCTTAAGCAAAACGCTGAATTCTTGCAATTAATAGACGTCGCAATTGAACAGAAAGTCATCACAGACGAAAACAAAATTTATATTCTCGAGGAAGGCATTTAGTATCACTTATTGGATATTTTAGCTTAATGCTAAATAACATCTATTCATACATACACTTACCTGAAAGTGTTTGGACAATACTAAATTTCATAATCATTTACCTTATTGTTAAATAATTATAATTCAGTAATTTACATATTAATCAGATATAAATTAAATAGATAGCTTACTTACCTTGTGGTTTATTACGCAAACATTAATTTATTTAATTTGGCCATTAAATGCTTTTAATTAGTAAGTTTTTACATGTACAGTCGCCACAGAAAGTAACGCCCGATTTGGATGTGCAACATCATCATAAATTTAAATGTGTGGAGTTTTATTGTTAACTGCAATTTTTTTTATTTCTTCGAATTTTAAATATACACTGGACAAAATTTGTTAAATATAACACACACGGCCTCCAGTTGACCGACTTTGACGAGGGTAAAATGGTAATTTTTATTGGGTTTTGAGTGCCGTGCAAGTTGCAAGAAAAATGAGCCGTGACCCGATGACGGGATAATGGTCTCTTACCGAATACAAACGAAATAGGAAAAAAAGAAAATTTACCAGGGGTTTGGAAGGTCACAAGCTCTTAACAAGCAAGAAAACAATGCACATTTCCAAGCAGCCAAAAAAAGACAACCTAAGCCATTTCGTGACATTTTCAACAAAAAATCTTTACCCGAAGATTCTCTAAGGTAATTTCATCCTTTCATAATATATTTATTATGCTCATTAATTTGAAAAATATGGCGTTTCAGCTTAACCTTAACCCTAATTCTAAAAAGATCATGAAATAGGTTCACGAGAAGAATATTAATGATTATGAACAATTAACGTATTCTCCCAGACCTGGCTTCATAGAAAACATCTAGAACCATTGTAGAACAATATTCTAAAGTGTAAAAGCTTTTTAAAACTGTGAACAAGCTCAAGACTGCTTTGAATGAAGTGTAATAAAATGTTAGTATGAGAGAAGGTCGTTATGACAGCTATTTTAAATAAATATGAATCTACGCACATTACAAAAATACGAAAACTGAAAATCAGCCAAATCCCAAGGAAATTTTGAATTAAAATAATCTGGGCTTCATTTCATTTTTTTTAACTCATTGTCTTTTAAATCCTTTTGAAAATAACCTAAATTATTTGGCAATTTGTGGCTTAACCTTTATTTTAGTTTCTTGCGGGCCTTCTTTGTTATTAGTCATAAGAATTAGTGTAAGTTCGATGCCATAAGGAATCGAAGCCATATAATGTATTAGTTAATAATAAACAAAATTTTTATGTATGGTACAGGAACTCTTAAATCGACAATATGTTTCATGTTGAAAATTCTTTCAACTTCTCAATTAAGAAGTAAAATCCAAAATTTAACTGGTAATATTATCAAGAAATTTCTTTTCTATAATATTACCAGTTAGATTTTGAATTTACTTCTTCGTTAAGAATTTGAAAGAATTTTTAATATGAAATATATTGTTAATTTAAGAGTTCCTGCACCATATAAAAGCAAAATGAAATAAATCAAATATATATCTAAAATTTTATAACAAGTGTTACTTTCTGTAGTAAGTTGTTAAATTTATATTTAATAATATTTGTTGGTTAAATAATATTAATGACCAGCAAAGTTTATTCAGGATAAGATATCAGCATTTTGATTCACTCATCCAAGTCAATAATTAATTATAAAGTTATATTCTATTATTATTGTACACAGTGAAAGTCGATATAATGGATCCCTCCATTCCTAACATGCTATCTGGTAAATCGATGGATCCACTATAACAGACAAAATTTAGATAATGCTATTTATAGCTAGTTCTGAAAAATAGTCTGTTATAGATCAAATCTGCTATATTAATTATCCATTATATTGACTTTACTGTGTAATTTATTGAGAGATTTTTGATATTGGTTTCCTTTATTTAGTAAAAAGCCAGTACAAAATATTGTAATTAGTTATAATTTTAAAAGTTATTAATATTAAAATTATAATATAATTCAAACTATAATCAAAGCTTCTTTTTTAGTAATATTATATTTTTGTTCAGCTAGTTTTAAGAGATATTATTATTATAGTAATAACATAAAAATCATTAATTCCAAAAATAGTTGAAAAATATAAAATATTCAAAAATATTCATATAATAACAAAGACTTTTCAAATTATTTTATCTTTTATTTTATCTTTTATCTTTTATCATCTTTTATTTTTTATTTTATCTTTTATTTTACTTTTTTATCTTTTATTTTTATCTTTTATTTTATTTTTATCTTTGATTTTATCTTTATTTTACTTTTTATCTTTTATTTTACTTTTTACTTTTATTTTATTTTTTATTTTACTTTTTACTTTTATTATATTTTTTTAATTAGTAATTTTATCTTTTAGATAATTATTATTTGAAATTATATTTTTAAAAAATATATAAATAGAAGTGCCATCTGGATTTTAACTTGATATATTATAACTAAAAATAAAAATTTCTCTTAACAAAAATCTTCTTTTAAATATCTTTTATCTTTCTTATTTTTTTTATATACTTCAAATCTTATATATAAGTAATTTTATATCATATTGTTACAAGTTTGTTCACTAATCATTAAATTAGCTTACAAATTCAAATCTGAATTGAGGGAGAATGATAGACTGATAAAAATATTAAAATAAAAAGAAAGAGTATCTAAAACCTATATCAATTTTTATAGAAATTTTGTTTATTTAAAAAATAATAATAATATAGAAAAGTTATAAGAAAGCAAAGATCAAAGAGAAGAAAGTGTATAAAAAAGAATTCAAAAGGATAATTTATATAAGGTTTTCCAAAGTTAAGACAAAAATTAGTAATAATAATAACAATAACAAAGATTCTTTTACTTTATTCTTCTTATAAATGAGAAATATTTGTTAATAATTAAAAATTCAAATAATAAAAAGTAAAATATTTATAATTCAATTTCAATAATTCTAGTATAATAATTTGTTTAGCATAATATAATATAAAGCTCAATAATCTAATAATAGCAATTTGTTCAGTACAATATAATTTAAAACCTAAAATCAATAATAGTGATTTGCTTAATACAATATAATATAAAGCTATTAGCAATTTGATAGATTTAATATAATATAAGATAACTTATAGATTTAAAGTATATAAAGAAAATATAAGAGTTTGAAAGAGTTAAGAGAAATTTTTATTTTTAGTTACAACATGTCAAATTAAAACTCAGATGGTATCTTTATTTATATATTTTTTGAAAATATAATTTCAAATAATAATAACTATCTAACCAATAATAAAAGAATAACAAATGATGAAATAAATGATAAAAAAATGATTAATGATAAAAAGTGATGAAAAATAATAAAAAATAATTAAACTAAAGAAAAATGATAAAAAATGATAAAAAAGTGATAAAAAATAATAATTAATAATAAAAAGTAATAAAAATAATGAAAAATAATGAAAAATAATGAAAAAGTAATGAAAAATAATAAAAAAGTAATGAAAAATAATGAGAAATAATGAAAAATAATGAAAAATGATAAAAAAGTAATAAAATAAATATTTAATATATTATTTTTATTATTACTTAGAGATTATTATTTTTTTTAAAGATTTTTGATATTTTTAATTATTTTTCAAATTCAGATTTTTCTTTGAATTTACTGTTAATACTGTAATAATATTATATCTAATAAATTACTAATAACTTTATATTATATTGTGTTAAACAAATTATTATTAGTAAAAAGTATAATAATAAAGAAGCTTTATTAATAAAATTATCTTGAACCTATTATAATTATAATATATAACTTTCTTAATAATAAACTTAACTTAATCTACTATCTCCTTTTATAATTATAAAAAGAGGTTCATTAAAGTTTTTCTGTTATATAAATACTATTAAAAGAACTAGAATAATAATATATAATAATAATTAGAAATAATGTAATAATATTTTTTATTTTTATATTAAAATGAAAATAATATCACATATTTTAATATATATTTTTTTCAGATTTTTTAGATTTAATCTGATAAATCTGTTCTAATTACATATAAAATTAATTATTTTTTTTATGTTTTAATTATAAAAAAATAATTAATTTTATATGTAATTAGAATAACTTTATCAGATTAAAGCTAAAAATCTGAAAAAAATATATGTGAAAATATGTAATATTATCTTTATTTAATATAAAAATAAAAAAATATTTATTAATAAAATTAAAAATCTTTTATATAAAGAAAAAAATTCATATTTTACTATATTTAATTAATAAATTTTGATATTATTACATTATTTTTAATTGTCACTATATATAATAAAATTGAATATAATTTTTTTATCTTATTATAATTATATTATTATATTTTAATTAATAATTGAATATATTAATTAATTGGATAAATATATTAATTAATTGAATAGCTAAATTAGTAATTCAACCTAAATTATTTAGTCCAAACCAAATTATTTTATTTTTAAATTTATTATAATTTTTTAATTTTTTTATAAATTCTAATAGTTCTAAATTAGTTTAGCTTATTTAATTTAATTTATATATAATAATTTAATTTTTTAAGTTCTAAATTCCTAAATTGTTCTAAACTAGCTGAATTAATGCTGGAATTACCAAATATAAAAATAAGTAAATATGTATAATTAATTATATTTATTCCTGTGCTATGATTTCTAATGATATTTTTAGTATTATAATAAATAATTATTACATATTAACCTAATCTAAACCTGATAAAGCCAGTTAAAAATCAGAAGTGAGATTTTATCAGATTAAATTTTTTGGAACGTTTCCTGAATTCTGAAAAGATTTTAAAATTTCTAGAAAAAGAATCTTGCTTTTTTTATAGAGAAAGACACTGGTCGAAAAAATATGATTATTATCTGGTTAATAACAAGTGGAAAATGCATATTTTGATAGATACCTGTAAAAAAAGTACGGAAATCTCTGAGTGCATACTCTATTTAAAGAGAGTAAATAATTAAAGATCTTATAAGTTTGGAACTGAGTCATATCATGCATTAAAAGAGAGTATGCATTTATATTACAGTAATTCTAAATGTATCAGACACCAAGGGAACTTCTAGACGGGATTCCAGTTCGAACAACTAGCTTAACCTTTTCTATGTGATGTGATAAATGTGATTCAAAATACATGTGAAACCTGATAATGTAGCTGACCCCACCCACTTACAAATCAAGCGATTTCTATCAGGTCCCTATTTTATTTGTATAAATTGCCTTTTATAAACCAGAAATTTCTTTACACCTAGAGTTTGTTTTGGAAAACACATAAATGTACGTTGTGTTAATAATGATAAGAACACAGTGAAACTCGATATAGCGGATATTCGACATAACGGAACTAAAATCTCGAACCCTACATGACAAAAGATATTTATCAGTAAAGGCTTGCTATTACGGATTTTTTCTATTTCAAATTTCACTGTGTACAGTCAAAGTTCCCGATCCAATACTGACTTTATATGTTTAATATATATTTGTATCGTGAAATTTCTTCGCTATATATTAAGTCATTATAGAGCATTTTAACTATAGTCCAATTCTAAGTCTCAAGTTTCATTTTTTTATTAAAAAAAAATATGAGAAAAATGAGGAAAACACAATTTGTTTTACCGTTACCTTCAAAAGGATACCAATAAGGTAAAACTTTCACTTCTTTTTCGCACGTCCCAGACATCGATCCTCAATTTATTGAGGAAAAAAATCAAGACAATTTTGATTATAAATATCGATATTGTTAGTGACATCATATAAAATCTCAACGAATCTGAATGATTAAGTGGGTTTACACCTAATTTTTATTAAATTTATACTAATAATTACATATCGATATAATCGAATCTCGATATAATGAAATGGTTAGGATATTTGGTTCTACTATAACCGTTTCTGATCTATTTCGTTATACATGTATCAAATAAAATTTAAGGAATTAAATTCTAAAAAAGAAGGGAGGAGTAATCACACATTTAGATTAACGTTAAGAGGAAAAACGTATAACGATAAAATCACGTAGTTTAACAAGATATGCGGCCGTAGCTGTAGTAGCTTTTGCTATATAACTCATCCAGGATTCCACAAAGCGCTATTAAGAGATAAAATGATGATTAATTTAGATGATTAAATGATGAAAAACGGAGTATGGTAAAATTGGCAATATCTATTATAATAAACAATTATACTCATAAATTTATATAGTATTTAGCAATCTAAACATTATTGCAAAATTAATTTTATATATTTTATGCATTTATCATTATTTTCAAAATTTGCTCTTTTATTATAAGAAATTGTCGATAATTCTAGCCAAATGAGCCGCACAATTTTGGCCAAAACTTTCACCATAATCCGTTTTTCATCATGATCCCCCACAATTAATGAAAGATACCGAGTAGAATAATGTGACCTACCATCACGAAGATCGTCGTAATCTTTTTTCCATTTAGCGAGACCAACAGACAAACCTAAAAATTGAAAAAATGAAGATGTATATTAAACATAAATAATTACTGGCTACAGATATAATACTAACCAATCATAATAGCCAACAAACAAACAACGAAAATCCACATTAAATAATGTGTTTTCATAGAGGGTTGTCCGTTATAGTAGAATGGTTGTTGCAAAAGTGGGATATGCTGCATGTTTGTTTCGCCAACAGGTACAGATGGCTGCGACGGCGAAGGAACTATGAAAGCGTTACCTTGCGGATTCATGTTAACTTGCGGATTCATGTTAACTTGCGGATTCATGTTACTACTCAAATTAGGTGTATTAACATTATAATTGTTATTAGCGCTATAATTGTTATTAGCGTTATAATTGTTATTAGCGTTATAATTGTTATTAGCGTTGTAATTGTTATTACCACTGAAAGCAAGTGGTGGTGGTTGTTGTTGATTGTAAATTTGAAGTGGTTCATTTGAAAAAGACATTATTTTTTCAGCTACGTTAGACTTCAAATATAAAAGTTTATAATTTGGAAATGAAAAAGCAGACCGTGAAAGAATGAAGTACATGTACATGTACATGTACTTTATGTTTTCTGAATCGCAATGTTTTGTGTGGTACATGTACTAAGTTTAGTAATTTCATAACGGTGGGACTTCTTTTCTTTTTTCTGTTTCACTGTACTCTGACTACTAGTAACCTGATACGGTTCGCTCAAATTTCGCGACCGTAGTCAAAAATTTATTGTAATGATAAATTGAATTTCTTTCTCTAACGCTAATTATAGATAAGAAATATTCTTTGAAATCTAGTTTTGTTAAAAAATTAAAATAGTATACATTATTTTAAACCATTGAGACTCCGTTGCTGTTAACGAGAAAACTTACAATCAAAGTCGTGGTGTAACCACCATTCAGTTTGTTATGCGTAACGTTATTAGTCACCTGACATTCTTTAATCAGAAAGTTTTGAGAGATTACAATAGATATTATCGTTACATATCGATATATAAATGAGATCGATAGTTGTGTTGTCCCTTGTACTGCATTAATGACCAGTTTTCCCGAATCAAATTTCCTAATATCCTGATTTGGGGGGTCCGTTAAAGCCGTGTAGTTTTAAATCCGATCCGGATTGCAACCATGTGACCAAAATTGAATAGCCAATAAAAATACTATATAGCGTTTGAATAAACCCACATTAAAAGTATAATCAAGCAATTAAAAATTTTGTTGATATTGTTAAAATTGATTTTTCAAGAGCACTTCCACCCAAAGACCCCCATTTCAGCAAATATTCACCAAAGAATTCACTAGATCCGGTCGCGACGAAACCAACACGGAGAAACTGGACACCCGGGAACCCTTACTAACCCTAACCAACACCGGTGGTTCCAGAAAAATAAGTCAACTTTGGATGCTTATATTTCTCCCAATATCCAACCAATTTTTGTGGTCCGAATACAAAGTATGTTCGTCTTGATTAGGCGAATCAAACGAACCCGAGTTCGCAAAAATCTGATGATCGGCGAGATCTCGTTGCCTCACGATCCGTCCGTCATTTTGCGATTTTTCATGCGCCGACTTTGGATACTATTTCCACCAATCCAGAAATGTGGGCGTTCAACGATGCAATACGGACCGGTGCGAGACCAAACCGGAAACTAGTCGAAATTTTCGACGGCACCAACGAAATGAAAAACTAGACATCTAACAATGAAAGAAACCAAATACTCGCATTCAGGAAACTTGGTACGAAACAAAACTGGAAACCGGTCGCGTAAGCTGTTAGTTGTTTTGAGTGAGTTTGTCCGCCATTTTCGTTTCGCTGGTGTTGCGAATTTCTCCAGGTTGCGATCAGAATCCAATTTGATTTCATGGCGGTGTTTTTAGTGAGTATTTGGCGCTTCTTTTCGTCCCAGCCAGAATTTTGCTGGGCCAAACCACATTTGTTTTTGTTTTGATAACAATGGTGTTATGTTATGCAGAATTCAGCCAATCATTGAATGTATAGGTCATGTGCATTAATTCGATCCGGCAAACTTAATTATAAAAAGTACATACATGTACTATCTATTATTATTCCAATATACAATACATAATACGTAATGAAACTCATTTTTAATTATATCGATATACGTTCAAAGAGGTAACAAAAAATTAGGACGATCGTTAAAATCTTGATACTTGAGGATAATATGGTTCTATAATAGTTGATTTTTTATTAATATAATAACCTTTCATATGATAATTAAACTTATTCACCAAGTCAAAATTTATAATATAGTAAAATTATATAGCATTTTGTACACAATGAATATTTTATAAGAAATATAAACCAAATTTTATTCATGAACTTTGAATAAGAAATTGGTTACAATGTCAAGTTTTAACATTATAATACTTATAATAAAAAATGTTTACAAGCTTCTATTCTAGATATTTGTAAAGTTTCATAAAAGTTTGCACATTAATTTATGAGATGTAATACAAAAATGCAAAAATCCTTTTCAAGATGCATCTATATCTTAATATAAAATAATGTATTTGCCATACTATCTTCATTTTCATTAGCTAAGCTTAATAGTTATTTACTATATTTAAAGTTTAATTATATTTTCAGCCAATGAAAATAGCTAATGAAATGAAGATACATTATTTTATATTGAGATATAGATGTGTTTGAAAAGGATTTTTACATTTTGTATTACATTTCATAAATTAATATGCAAATCTTTATAAATATCTAGAATAGAAGCTTGTGAACATTTTTTATTATAAGTATTTATAATGATAAAACTTGATATTATAACCAATTTTTCATTCAAAGTTCATGAATAAAATTTGATTTATATTTCTTATAAAATATTTTAAAATATTATAAATTTTGACTTGGTGAATAAGTTTAATTATTATATGAAAGATTATTATATTAATAAAAAATCAACTATTATAGAACTATATTATCTTCAAATATCAAGATTTTAACAATCATCTTAATTTTTTGTCACCTCTTTATATATCTTTTCTTTTTTAATTTATAAACTTGTACATGTATAAGATATAATATAAAGCACTTTGTATAATATCTTCTTTTGTACTCTTTTACGCAATATGTAAGTAATTTATTAGCAATGTGTCATGAATTAGTTCCGTATACAAATGGGCGTGTTTTTCATACAAATACGTACAGAATTATTATACAAAATTTAAAATTCCATATGTTTTCCAGATTCAAATAATATATAATTTCAGAAAAATACTGATACGTATCATATATATTCCATACGCATCTCCAAAATATCTCGTGCATATGTTTTATACATTTCAGATTCATTTTATATAAAGTTATTTGTGTTATGTAAAATTCTGGATACAACTCTGAAAATCACAAACACATTTTATATGTATTGCATATATAACTTTTATATATTATGTATAATTTTCAGATACAATTGCTTTCATATCTCTTATATATTCAATTATTTATACTACATATGACCAAATAATTATTCTACCCTATGCCTTCACTGATCCCCTTTTTTATCATAATTCTTGCTGTTTTTCCTGTAGGACAGATTGGATTTCATTGAATACTTCAGATTATTTATGATTCCAACTTCTAAAAATTTTTGTGAAGTTATTTTCTTGCTGGATCCTATTAAATTATTAGTGATTAATCGATTACAAAAAATAAAGATCTTATACTTACAAAGCAAATATCCATTGTTAACCTGTGATAAGTTGAAAATGATTGTTTATAATGTAGTATTGTTGTGAGACTTTTCAATTTGTGCTTGACTATATCAATTTTGCAAATTTCTTCATTACTGGAAATTATATGGTTATTATGTCATTATTTTCGTAATTCCTTTTGCCTGTGAGAGCATTTTCTTTAATTAATTACAAAGATACAATTGGTAGCGTACTAGAAATATAATGAAAACATATTAGAATAATTAGAGCAATAGTAAATTTACTAAAATCGAAAAAGAATATTTATTTTAGTGTTTTTTCATTATTTTTTCTAGTATTACCAGACAAATCTTCATAAAAATTTAATTTAAATAATATTCCTAATAATATATCTTAAAAAGAATATATTTAAGTATGAAATATATTATATAATAGACTAAAATACATACTGATTCTTGTATTATGTGTATTTTCTTCTGTATTTGAATTACTATCAGTAAACTCTTGAAACTTTGTATTATCTGAATATTCTATTAGAATAATCTTTTTATTCTTTTTCTTTTTGCTTGAATTTGATTATATGTGATTTATAAATTTGATCTTCATGTTTTACTTGAAAGTTTGTCAAGTTCTTGAATAATTTATTTTTTTCACAATTTTGTAATTCACTTAATAAAATAATAAATTAGAAACTTTATTAATAATAAAGTAATTTTATTTTGAACAACTTACCTCTATTATTTATATATTAATAAAGTGCTTTATAATATATCTAATTAGATTTCATATAAGAAAATTCTTTAAATTTTGCAGCTGTCTCATTAAATCATCCTTCTTAAATATACTCTGATATATGATTAATACTTCTTTTTGAATAATTTATTATTTATCTATAATTTCTAAAGAAATTGCTATTTAAATAATAAAAGACAAATATTAAGTATTAATATGTTTAAAAAAATAAAAAATATTCTTATTTTAAATTATTTAATACTTTGCTCAAGAACTTTTATAACAAGTGCAAATAGAATATTTGAAAGATGTTTTCCTATAACAGGATATTTGATTAGTCGATGAAGCTTTGTTTAATATCATAGCAAAAGATTTTTATTATCAAGATTTTCTGGAAGAGCTGAAAGTGACAAAGTACTAATAATAGAATAAGTGACTTCTTTAATATTAGTATTTTTAAATAATATTTTGGATAAATATAACAAACTCAAAATTTAATGATTATTTATAAATATATTATTATTAAATCAAAACAAAACAAACACATAAAATTTTATTAATAAACAAATAAAATTTTTATATAATTAATTAATTAATTTTATATATATAAATAAATAATATATAATTGGTTATATAATTATAATACCAAAAATAAACTATACTAATCAATTACTAATCAATGATATAATTAATAATATAATTAGTAAAAGACAAAAGATGAATTTTCTAGATAATTTAATATCATATGAATTAAATATAATATATTATATGTACTATTCTAACAATTATATATGATTTATATAAGTAATAATAATATAAATTAGATTATCTAAATCTATTATTAAGTATTTTAACAAAATATCAAGTCATAAAATAATTTACAAATACATTAATTGTATTGAAAAAAGCTCTCAAGAACAAGTTATTAAATTAAAAACTTGTAAAAATATTTTAAAAAATATTAATTTGAATATAAAATTAATATATATTTAGATATAATTCTATTGAAAGTTGAAACTAAAAAAAAAAATAAAGTAATATCTGTATATATTTATTAT